AGAGGCAGCGATCTTGAGACCTTTTCCAGTTAGTTATAAAATAAGTTGTCTGTCTCTTCTTCTTGGCTGGGGGGTCTGTAACAGACACACACCACAACATCAGCCTTGCTACCTATTCCCCTGAGTTTCACCCACAAGCACTCAGTCCTACTGTCACCCTCAAGCTCCAGCTCAAGGGTTTCAAAACATTCTCTAACATACAGAGCTACACCCCTGCCTCTCTTGCCTTTCCTATCCCTCCTGAACAGTCCATATCCACCCATAGTGGCACTCCAGTTATGTGAGTCATCCCACCATGTTTCAGTGAGCGCAATTAAATCGTAGTCCCCTTGTCTCACAATGGCCACTAGCTCCTCCTGCTTATTGCCCATACCTCGTGCATTGGTGTATATGCACTTCAGGTGGGCTGTTTTCCTCACTGCATTCTTTATGGGGATAGCTTTGATTTCCAGATGACTGCCTTTTGAGTCATCTACTCCGTCAGTAACATTTACAACTTTCTCACTTGGAGTATTCACCACCGCCCTCTCTGAGGTGGCAGACTGATGGCCAGTAGACCATCCCTCAGAGACTGGAGTGCCATCTCCAGGCTCACCTTTGTTAAGGCTGGTACCGTGCCCCTCCCCCTTCACATCTAGTTTAAAGCTCTCTTAATGAGCCCTGCAGTCTCCACACCACATTCATGTTTTTACAACCACAAACATTTCTCTTTTGTTTTCACTTTGCCATAAATTTTATCAAACCACACAATTTAATTGAAGTGTAAAACCCTATAGGTACAAATACCTCCTGCTCAAAATCTCTTTTCAGACAGCATGTGAGGACAAGGCAGGCACACACCCTCAAGCAATTCAAGTTAAACTCAGGAGACCCAACTATAACTTCAGAAAATGGCAATGATCAAGCAAGTAATTTTCTTTTGATTAGTTAAAATAAGGAGACTGTTAAGCCATAAAAATGGAGTCTCTAGCTATTCACAGTGATAGACTTCGAGCCCTTAGAGGGGTTGAGGGAAGCCTTGCTATAATTTCCGCAACTAATAACATTTGCGACTAAAATAAGCTACTACTGATATTACTAGTAACAGGAAGCAAAGCAGCTTCTCAAGCCATACCAGCTATTTTGAATGCAAACTTGTGTGCTAGTAGTGCAGAGCTGCAACCATCTTAAACATGCAAATTTAATCACTTGGTAGAAAAAAACCCCAAAACCTAAGTAATTAGCTAAGTTAACAAAAAAAACTTCACATGCTGATTTGGTTTTTTCTTGTCTACTTTCTTTTATTAGTTAAAGCAAAAACCAGATGAGTTACTTTTATGCAGGGCCAAGTTTCCTTCTTTCCACTAAAATTATAATTGCCAAGGTATCAAAGAATATTGCCTAGAGACAATATGTCAAACTCAGTATATGCCCCATGAAACATTATTTATTTTGTCATCAAATTAAAGTCAAGAGAGTCAAAGCTTTCCCTCCTCCTTGTCCTATATCAGTAAAATTAAAATTTAAGTAGCATTTCAGAACAAAAATGTTCTTTATCAATAGAAAATGTTTTTTCTACCTCAGAAGACCTCTGCTGTCTCTGAGATTTAAATTTGTCTACATTTACCACAAGTGATCTCCGACTAAACATGATGGAGTACAAGAAACAGAAAAAACATAACTTTCCAGAGATTTAGCCAGGGTCCTAGCACCCTCAGAGCTTATAGTCGTAAGTAACAGAATTTAAAGAAAAAAGAATAATCCCTGCTTTCTTTTTAAAAGAAGAATCCATAAACACCCAGCTAGCAGATTCAAACTATGCTCAAGTCATGCACAAGGCTGAACATTTGCTACTGAAAAGTCCTTCCTAAAATTTTACAGTCTTGCATCCTCCCATAGCACAGGAACAAAGAAAACCCCATAGACAGCCATCAATCCGTACGTTATTTTTTAACTCGAACAAGCCGAAGGATAAGTGTGCCCTGAACTGATACCAAGGAAACAAGCTAATGGCCTGCAGCACAGGACTAATCTCTATGGGAACATCTCAGTACTGCACACATATATTATTAAAAGAGAACTGTCTGATATCAAGGTCACAGCGGACCAGTTGTGTCTATTACATCAGGAGAGGAAGATGGATTAGATTTTTTCCCACTTTTACCAAAGAGAATGAAAAATTGTTTTGCAGGATCAAGGAAACACTGCTCTCCATCCATCCCTGTTCAACTCCAGATACCCTACTGAGCAGAGATGACACACAAAGCGGAGTGGAGTGACATTTCTCACAGTACTTTTTCAGCAACTTTATCAGACTCAGTCTGAATATTGTTATTCATACTAACCCAAGAGGAGCTGATGTAAAGAGCTTAAATCTTTACTCCCTTTCCTGCTGTTGGGACACTGTGTCAGAATAGTTAAGCTACCTCGCTCTCAAATCCAAAATGCAAGTTCAAACCATTCTGTACGCATGTGACAAATGCCACCTGAGCTGTAAATGGGCATCTTTTCATCTGCCATATGAGCTGAAAGTTTTCAGATGCAGTGGTAATTTCGCATTCCTTTACCCATTGCTTGTTACAGAAATGGGTTTGCCTTAGGACTGGCCATGCAAGCCTCTGACCTAAGACTGTGCACATGCATACGATCCTTATCACAGACATATTTTCAGACCACTAGCAATCATAGGACAGAGGGGCCTGGCAGCATTGATCACAATACATTTAAAGTGAAGGGTACTATGGATTTGATGGAGAGAAAAAAACAAAAACCTATAAAACTTGAAAACTTACTACATGATAAGTTAGAATGTAATTAATTGGTATAAGTAAGGAGTGAATGTATGGGTTAAAAACAGCGCAGAAGGGGTGGATGCAAAACCTCAGCAACAGTCCATCAATTTCCATCTAGGACTTAATGCTAGCTATGATCCTGTTCTGCACAGATACAAAACGTAGCCTTAAAACAGCCGTATTTAATTGCAATATCCTATTAAGTTGGATTCTCTCATATTCATAAATGAAGGAAGACCACATTGCTGAGGAAAAGCAATATTATTTTATGATCATTTTAGTGAAATAAATATGCAATTCTTCTCTTGAAATAAGACAACTAAATGGTGATTCAAAAAGGCAGTGGCAACTATGTTCAAGATGCACTGGATGATTACAGTAGCCACAAAAGGCCTCAAAATCCTAATGAACTTAGTTTCAAATCTGAGAATACAGTATAAACACTCAGCAACTTGTCATTTTGGAAAGCAAGCTTGTGATACCATATGGTCGTGACTGTATGAATTATTACTGTGATCTTAGTCTTTCACTACAGCTAAATGTACTACAGTATAATCCACACTTCTTTACTATAGTAACAGCAATTATACTAGTTTCTTCAACTTTTCCTATGCTTTTCTTTTATGTGAGCTCAGACCACATTTCAGTTTAGATCCTCACTGCTTCTGCTACACACAACTGAGGTAACATCCAGTGAGCCACGACAATGCTTGCCTGCTCCTCCAGTGACTTATTTCCCATTGGCAGTCTGAACAAGCATTGGGGAAAAAAAATCAAGACGAAAACACAACAGAAATATTACAGAAATATTAACTAGAACATAGAAAGTGTCCTTTCCAGTGTGTTTCATGAGCTTACCTGTCTGAAGCTTCTAAGTCAAAACAGAATCGCCTGTCTATAGTATCTGTGTTTCTTTTGGTACAGTATGTAAGGACAAAGAGTTCCTCATCACCCTGTGGAAAGAAAGTTTTTATATGCTTGACCAAGTAATTGGACGTTTCAGCTATACAAAGCAACTATGGTAAGTTTACATTAAAGTAATGGCAAAAGCTATACCGAAAACTGACACCTGCAAAATAATTTACTCATGGCTGCCATTCAGGTCTCTGCAGAGTAGCACATAAATTCCGTGGTCATTTACAGGACATAAATGCAAAAATATTGAGTCCATTTTAGCTGACACTTCACAATATGACACAGTACCACAGTAATTTAAACTAACAAAAATATTTTGCTATAAATATATTGCATGTTACAAGCACAAAATAAGTGTAAGAGATTTCTCTCATTTTATGTCAGACACAGTGATTTCCATAGTGAAGGCTATTGTTACAGTAACTAGAACAAAGTAAGCATTCTTTACTATCTGTAATCTGTTTTACAGAAGCAGTCTTTTCTTCAAGAGCAGTCAACACTAGGATCATATTTTACCATTAGAAATTCAGAAATAAAACAACTAAATTCATCTGAGAAAGCTATGAGTTGTACTAGGTTTAATCAGGATTAACTGTACATATTAATTATTTCTTATCTTATTCAACATCTCCAGACACAGGAGGTTTTCACTAAAGGAGTAATTGCACTGTGGGTTTCAAATTGGAGATCTTTCAATACAGCAAAAATGGCTTCATAAGTGTTCTAGTATGCCAAATGCTTACACTCATACTAACTAAATGGCTTATTACAATTAGAGTAAATCAGGATTAAAAAGGCATAGAAGTACTGAAATTAAGGAAGCCACACGAATAATTTTCAATATGGCAGGTTTTCCAGAGCTTTTGAAAGATTCTCCCAATTCCAATATATTTGTAAATATACACAGCCCTCAAAATTATGAAAGCCATCTTCCCTTTGCTCATACTAATGGGTTATAATACCCCAATGAAATTTCAACAGCATGATTTTCTAACCAAATTTGAAGACAGGGCAGGGTGCTGCATTTGCAGGAATTTTGACTCAAACATAATTTTCCAGCTTCAGATATCCTTTTCCTTGCAACAAAATTTCATCCATATTAATGCATTCAAGTATTGCATCATCTCTAAAGGTGCTGAGTGCCCTCAAGTCCCAACTATTTAATAGGAATTAAAGCTATTTAAAGATCAACAATGTTGGGTCTTGAATATTTCAGATGGTGTCTAAGATACCTGAAGTTACATCGAGTTGTCAGTACAAATTGTATTTCTACTAAAACCCCTTTTTTCTAGTCCCTCTTTGACTACTTACATCTCTGAAAGTACAATCTGACTGGAGCACTTAAGAAAGACATCTCTAAGTCTAATCTATTTTCTTGATTTGTTCTTCAACAAGTTAAATGCCTCATGGATAAACCAGATTCTAAATGGTGAAACAGTGCATGTTAACTGTCCCATGTTTTCTGTGGTCTTCAAAAAGGAAGCAACTGAAAAGTCTGCAGAATTCTTATCTATTAATCCATCTGTTACTTTAGGTTAATGCCCTTAAATGGCAAAACTGAATTGCAAGAAGAAAGAAGAAAAAAAAGGGCAAGGAGGTAGACAGGGAAAGTACTTGACACATCTTATCTGACACATCCTTTGATCTTGATCCAGGGCAAGCATAAGAGTAGAATATAAAAACAGACTTACAACTCTCCCTCCTGATCTGTGTTCAAACGGGATCATGGTGAATTTCTTTGTCTCCTTCCTGTACGTGCAATAGTGCTTCACCCAACTGGAACCAAAGGGAGCAGGCCCTATATAAAACAGAAGCATTAAATAGTTTATACTTTTTCCAAATTGTGTTTCCTTCTCCTGCTTTCCAAAATGATACTTAAGAGTCCTACTTAATTCCTAATAATACAGTATTTAAAACAAAGTTATGAATTAAGAACATTATACAAAGAAATACAAATTTTAACCAGTGCATACTGTTCTAAAAAGCAATATATGTAGTATTTCACATTTATGCTTATTTTTCCCTATAAAAGAAAGATCCCTTGAAAGCTTTTTTGAGCAGAACATGTTCTGCTGAAACTAAATAACTGCATACACATACTGTTCTACATTATTTACTGATTAAGGTTTGATCACATTTTCTAGCACCTAAACTCACTCCCAACTATTAATCAGTACACATCATACACAGAATACACTTCAGAGCCCAGTCTACTACATACAGTATTATTGAGATTTGCATCATAGTATTAACTGTTAAAACTTGGATTCTGAGCCCCTTATCTTCTCACTTCTATTAATTTACTTTTTAAAAAAAAAAGTCAGCGAAGTAATCTTCTCTCTTGAAGGACTCTGCCTCAGAGTATCAGGGAAGCCTTTCACGAGTGGCTCAAGCTGACAGAGGATTTCACTGCTCCTAAGCTGGAAGGTCTCACTACCCCCCTCCTCCCCAGCTCAACTTCAGACATACTCACCTCTTCTGAATCCTTTCAGCTGATTCTAAAGCTCATGATGACAAAGACCACCACTGAATTGATCTCACAGAATAATAATAATTCTTATTTTTTACTGCTAGTTGTCTTAAAACTTATTTCTGAACACTCTAACACCAATGTTTCCATCAAGAATGTTGTAGAGTCTTCCATTTGTGAAATACTTTAGATAAGAAGCCCTTACCTAAACAGGAATCAATTAAACATGATAAAAAGAATATTTTATTTGACCTTATGATCACAATTAGGTAATGAAAGCATTTCATTGAACCAAAGAAATGACAGTTGATTTCATCATGCTAAACTAGCCCAAATTTCCAAGGGTAATTTGACAAACCATATTGCTGTCTGAGAACAAATGTTTGACAACTCTAGGGGAGGTCGTTGGTAAGGAATTAAAAATAACATAAAATAAATTCTTCAGTCAAATAAAACTTCCCTGAATTCAGTCACTTTTGCTAAGAACTGTTACACTTTCAGCGCTCTGCTCTTTCTATGAGATACAGTAACACCGCCATGAGAGACTTTGAACTTTTACTCTGATGACTCTGTTCAATAAACTGCAAATTCTTTGCATCTCCATGTTAGAAATAAGACTTGCCTATATGCACAATATGGGCACTATAAAAATACAAAAATACATCTTACTTTTTTCCTGTACATAGAGATAGCCTTCCATTGTGAAGTGATTTGCTCTTTTATGTTCCTGAGGATTTCTTCTGATCTTGTTCATGAGTTCTTCTACCTCTGACCTTGTTCCTTCAAAACGATTTCGCGTCTGAAACAAGATAGGAAAAAAACATCAGTAAAGAGGGGAAGAAATACATGCTCTTTCTGGCAGATAGGAAGCATTAAAAAAAAAGCACTGCATGCATTTAGGAAAAAAAAATAAATCAAAGTCCAGTTTAACATTATTCTTGACCATCATTTCAAGGTTTGCAAGCAGCTGCAAGAGAAATACATATTAGAATATTAGTAAAAATAATCAGAAAGTAACCACATTACCTATAAATTATACAGTAGGACTACACAAAATAACAGAGCAGCTCACACCTGACACTAGAAACTCCTCAGTTTGGCCTGAAGAGCACCATCAATTGGCCAACGAGCAAATAACAAAATCAAGACAATCATGGTAATACCTAGTTTTCTCCACATAACCACTTGCCCAAATTGCACAAACTGAAAAAAAAAACATTCCAAGCAGATATTATCCCCCCAGTTGGTACACATGTTTTCAGGAAAGCACATACTTCTAGAGTCATACTTATGTGTCCTGCTGATTTCTGAGAGCACCTTTATTTTCCTGATAATGGATCAGCTTCTGAAAATGCTGCCTCATCTATTCCGCTTTTTTCCCCCAGAACAAGCATACAGTTGCATACACTAACAAATATATCATGAATATAAGCAAGTATTCATTCTTGTACATAAGACAGTTAATAGTACGCTCCTAACTGGCCATCTGTACATGAAAATTACAGATTCAAGGCTCTGAACTATTTTCTAAGCTCCTTTTCATAATTCTTTAGAAAGGCTGCATTAAAAAATATACTCTGTACTCAGGACAATGGCAAAACATTTGATAGTGACAGACTGCTCATACCTAAACCTTCCTCCCTAAGCACTGATCACTCCTAGGTTAGATGCTTTCAATGCTCCTGCTAGGATCTTTGTCTTAGCTGTGCAGTGATCACAAATCCATGCATGTGAAATACACCCTGGGAATGGTGGGATGCCGCACCATGGGCTCCAGAAACCTGAAGAAAATTTATGTCTCCCTTTGTGCTATGACAAAGCTGAGCTTATCCAGGGGTCAACCACAGGCCCTGCACCGGCATGGCCGTGCATCCTCTTCCCAGGGAAGGCCAGGTTTGCTTGCAGGGCAGGAGAGTGTGGTCAAGGTTGAAAGGACCCTTGTATGGTGTTGCACACAGAACTGAGATAACAAAAGAAAAGTCCTGGGAGTGCAGAGGAATCTAGTTGAAGATGCAGGATTTTTACAAGAGAATGAGACTGTTGGAAGAATCAGCTTACTTGAGCTTGGGATACAATCTGGCTTGTTTTGGGTTTTTTCTTTCTATTATTTTGGGAGGGGAGTGAGGGGAAGGCAGGGCCTGGGGCATGGTGTGGAGAGGAAACCCACAGAATAATTCAATCTGAATGAAAACGAAGGCAATTACTACAGCTATACTGGCAACTCTCAAATCATTCTCCGTATCCAGCTAGGCTCTCTGTACTGAATCTTGTACCCTTCAATTTCTAACTTATCAATCCAGTGTTCTGCCAGCAGCTTAGCTGTATCACCACCAAGCTCTAGTTCATTTTTCTTTTGGGATGTTTTGTTCATTTTCCACACAGTAGAGTGCATGTCATGTCCTCTCATGATCTTTTCAGATGCTTCCTTCTATTCTTCTCTTACCTCAGAGCTGTTAAGTCTTGCCTCCTTTCTCTCTACAGGGTTTTGAAATCCAGGTCATTCTTTCTATCTATTCATACAACTTGAGCTGTAATGCTCAATCTCTTTTGGATTTCCTGGGGCACACTATAATACCACTGAGTTGATTGAAAATACAGTTGTTGAGAATAGCTGGCTTTCTTACTACTCATCAGTTCACTGACCACTGACCACTTCACTGGCTCTTTTCCATGTATAATCTGAAATCCAGCTCTTCAAAACTGTATCATAGCTTCTCTCTTACATTTCATTTCTTGCTCATCTCACATCAGTCCCCCTCTGTGCTCCCACTGTGGTTCTCTGCTGCTCTTCATTCTGTTAAGCTAAGCACACAGCAAGTCTGTCCTGAAATTTTCTCCAGAAGCACTGACTTCTGCCCTGAAAGTCTGCTTATGAGGTTGCCACTACTCAGTTCCTCTACCCAAACCAAACAAAAGCTCAAGAGGAAACTTAAGACTTAAATATATGGGAAGACAATTAAAGGAATGGTATCATGACATATGAATCATGTCACTATGTATTACAACAACAGTAATCCTCTTTTCTGCCTTCCCAACTCCCTGCTACTGCCTGCCAGTTAAGCCATTTCTAAGAATAGACCACAACCTCTGAGAAGTAGTTTCTGTATCTTAATTCGAGGCGCCCTTAGAGGTCAACAAAACAGACACAGTGTCATGAATTGCTTGTTTCCAGTAAGGTACATGGTTCGTTCCCTACCAACAGGCCTCTGGCACATCCAAGTTCCTCTGAGCGAGTTTCATTCTCCAATAAATCTCAAGAAAGTGCACAGACCACCTGACTTATGACTTTGCCAGTCCCACTGCTTCAGTCTGTCACCTTGCTTGCATTTCTTCCAGTCCTGAGCAGATCTCACTGGCCAATTTGGTGTGAGGGTACAGGAGCTAGTGGTGGGCCCCAGTTAGCCCTAACACCGATTTCCTTATACAGTTCTGCACCCCAAACCAACAAGAATGTTCTCGACTGAAAGGGCTGCTTTGAGGCAAATACAAACTCCAAGTCACACTTCTGGCAGAGATGCCAAAAACAATGCTGATAAACCCTGGGGTTTTTTCTTTCCTTTTCTCAGTTATGGATAATATAGGCCTATCAAGCAATGCTGCTCAGACATGACCACCACATACTCAATTTCAAACACACCTAAAACACTGAGAACTTTGGCATTTCATTACCCGTCCTCTGAATTCTCCAGGCTTTTGTGCATTTTAACAGACTTAACTCATTTCTAAACTCTTTCACGACAAACCTGTGTTATGTCCCTACAAAAACTTGAAAAAGAAGTGGAGGCCTTTTACCTGCTGTTTGTTTTTCAGAGTATTAGAAATTACAAAATAAGAACTCACTGGAATTAGCAAGGATTTGTGCAGTGATGTGGTTGGTTAGCCAGGAGATGGCACTACATCCCCAACGTTCACAGGCAATGCACTAACACTGAGGCAAGTATTGGCGATACAGATACTGTACGTACAGCAACCGAAGTGTAATTTTAAAACAAAATCACACAAAAGGCATAGACCTCAATCTCAACTTACATTTTGTATATTTATCTGCAGAGCCATTTTGTAATGATTGAAGTCTTTAGCAAGTTCATATCCCTGATGATAGAAAGTGAACAAACCCTGAAAAAATGATAGCACCTGAAATACAAACGAAAGACTTGTTAGAATTAAAACCTCCATTTACCAGAATATGATTGCTGCGCAGTCTTTTTCAGAAAAGATCAGAGATGACAAAATTATTATTTATAAACTAATTCCAACTAATGCCTACAATTTATGAATAACTATTTAGATCCAAAGGATCAGCTATGTATACAGACATAGATTTATACTATATTGGAAATGGCATGAGGTGTAGTACTGCCTACCTCTACTGTTTGGTTCGGGTTGTTAGAAAGAAGCAAGTGACAGAAAAGAACAATTCTCTTTAATACATAGAACTCACCAAAGAATGTATTTAATAATAAAGACTGAATTCATATGCAAATAAACCATTTTCAAAAATGAAAAAAAACCCCATAAATTCAAAGTATTATGTAGGAGAAAAGGGATGACAATTTGGTAGTAAATAGTTTCAATTTACCACTCTGGTGAAAACTTCAAATACAAATTGAGCAACATACAGTTCAACCCCATCCAGAGGGATCTTTCAAAAAAAGAAAGAAAGATGTGTTTTGAAAACATAATTTGAAGAATCACTAGTCTAGGCTGGCTCTTAGGAAACTTCAAATGGTTTGAAACAGAAGAACTGAATAGAAAAAGAAGCCAACTAACCAGTTTTCACGAAATTTTCCCATTCCTTGAAAAATGCTAATATATTTAAAGCCATTTATTCCCTCTTGAGTATTTCAGAAACTTTTTCATACAGGAATAAGCTATATTAAAATACACAGCTCTCATTAATTCCATAATGACCAACTTTAATCAGGGTCATTTGGAACTTTTTTATTATTGCATTAAAATAACTGTATCAGAATAAATGGACAGAGTTGGCCCAAAAACACAGTCTTCAGAGTGTGAGTGAATGGAAATCACAATCCATCCTCTTTATCTCAGTATTACACTTACTGTTCTCTTGATCTTTCATGAAGTTGCATTTATGTTACGAAGCTGGCACACATTTCAGAAAATTTTGGAACAATGTCTTCTCAGAAGTTTAAATAATTCTGTTCAGTACATGCATGATTTTCACTGAAATTCAGTGAAACTCCTTCGCTTGTGCACAGATCTACTTGCAATTGAAATCAAACATATCAGACTACCTGATATCGAGCTTTTAGCCAGCAGCATCCTCTTAGTTAATTTATATCTGCACTTCTTCACTAACAGATCACTAAGTGCAACCTTAATATAGAACATGAAATTCCTTACCTTAGTCAGAACTAACATTTCAGTGGTTTAAAAAAAAAAAAAAAGGCAAAAGTCTGACTCCAACATCATCTTCCTGAATCCTCTATTCAAACCCATGCTATAAATTGAGTTTTTTTGCAGTACAGCACATGGTTTTCCACATTTTATGAAAACTAACATTTCCCTTATGAATGTCAGGGTACACTGAATTCACTGGTACTTACAGGTTCCACACACTCAAATTTCTTCCGCTCCTGTATCTCTTGCAACTTGCATACGTACTCGAGGGACAGCTCATAGAAGTGTTTTCTATTCTGCTCCACTTGGTTATCTGCCTACACAAAGAATATGGCTAATCAAGTTTCAAAGACACTTTGCAGACAGCTTCAAAATTACACATGTATAGCATGCAAGTGGTAAGCAGTAAGATTATTTTCTCCAGACCAGGATTTGTTCCTTTGCAAGCCCATTCATTTACTTTTAAATGGTAGCAGCAATTTCCTTTTACTAAGTAACATATGTTGTTGTTTTAAAACATAAGGCTACACTTTAGAAACATTCCAATAACACTTTCTTCAAGCTTCTTGTGCACTAATTTAACAGCACTGAATATGTGCCTGCCCAGAGAGAGGGGGCTAGCAGGGTCTTCCATTAGAAATGGGAGAAATAATCCCTCTAGTCAAACTAAGGAAGGAAATGTTATTGCTGAAAACCACATCACTTGTACTGTAAGCTTTACACTATAACCCAAATAACTGCTGTAAATAGCCAGAATGCCATTGTACCCACCCCACACCTGTGCTCACTCTGACTGGCAGGAAAGGAAAGCTCACTTATTGGTAAGACACTTCATAAGTTTCCACAAAGCATCAATTATTTAGAAATGCAGCCTTATCAGCTGCAGCTGATTTTTAGCTCAGCTTTCCTGAAATGCCAACATCATATTGATGGTGAACAGTTATATTTCAGCTGCCATTCATTTGTACTTAACTATTTAACCTTCTAGCATATATGTATTATTTCATTAAGTTATTATTTATGGTACATGTGCCCTCATGAAACTATAAAACTGAAAGAACTGAGTAACAGAAACCTTTATTAAAAAACATTAAAGAAAGACTACAAAGGCATACTCTAAGTGATTAACACTGAAGTCTTTGCCCATGTGGTAATACCAAACGCTTCTACGCTAAATTACAAAAGGGAATGGAGAAAGGGTTAGGTGAAAGAAGCAGACTCTCATACACTCCCTCTTAAATACTGAGGCTATATCCTTCAGGCAGAACAGTGAATGCTGTGCTCTAAGAGGATAAATCAAATTAGCTTCAAGACGGTTTTGCCTTAAGACGTGCTTCACTTTGCTGCTGTGTGCTAGAAAGCTGAGAGCGGCTAAAGGAGCATAATAACAAATGCCATTTAAAAAGAAGCACTGATATGCACATCAGTTAAAAAAAAATGTGTTTCAAATAGCCCAGTCATTCCAACACATCCAGTAAATACAGGAATTTTTTGAGTTGTCAGCAAAGCTTATAATGGCACATACAAGTACTGGAGTGTAGCCATAGAAAAAGACTATGAAGTGGGCCTACTAGGACATCTGGCTAATTGATAGTAAGATTGGCCTATATACACCAAAGCCCCACATAAGCCTGTTGCTCTCTTCTTTGTTTTTGGTTGTTTACTATTTTGGTTGCCTCTATCTTCCCCAAGAACACAATACCCAACACAGACATTTTATTAATTTCTCTCAGTTCCCCTGTAAATAAATTATCACATCTCCTCAGTTTTTTGAGGCATTAGCTTCCCCGTGCACCCAGCAAGTTCACTCACTGTTGCACTGTACTTTGTGTACTGCCAAAGAAATACAGAAATAAAACACACATCGTGCCTTAGTGAAATCTCAGGAATATCCCTCCACTAACAGAGTCAAAGGCAATGTTAATGTAAGACACACTCCACAACAAAGGATGGTTTTTGTCAAATTTATACTTGTATCCTTTATACATTCTAGTCAGGAACTGACACAACTAGCCAAATATAATACTAAACTAGCAAGCTCCTATGCACATGCTCCCATATACATTTATTTTATAAGCTTGTGCAAGAAAGCTTTTCCTGTTTAGCACTCTGATAACATGTTGCAAGTCTTTTTTTTTGTTTGTTTTAATTTGCTTATACATATATATTCCAAAATCAAATGCATAAATGAAAAAGCCTGACTGAAGAATTTCAGAATTTTTATTCATGGAACTTTGAAGGACATTTAAAACAAATCTGCTCATTGCTCTTCACACATGCTTTAAAACTTCAGACAACATTTGATACAGTTTCAAAATGCCTCTTGCAGGCATTTTATATTTTTCCATTGAGGTTAGATCTCACTTCAGACTTTGAAATACGGTTCTTGATATCACCAAGAGATCATCATTACTACTATTTCACTTTTCCTGCATCAGTTTCTTTGGCAACTGATCAATTTGATAAAAGTACAGGTCCTGACACATGAACAATGCTTGTAACTTGTTGATGCAGTCCAGGATGCAGTTGGTCTTCTGGGGTGCAGATGCACATCAGTGGCTCATGTCCAGCTTCTCATCTACTTGTATCCCCAAGTCCTTTTCCTTGGGGCTGCTTTCCAGCACATCATCTCCTAGCTTGTATTGGTAGCAAGGATTGTCCTAGCAGGAATCTACACTTGGCCTTGTTGATTTTTATCTATATCGGCCTATACAATATTGCAAATACAATATGGAGAAGTAACACCTGGTGAAACTCCACAACAATCCGAGTTCTCAAGTTTCTAGTGAACTTGCTGGTTATATTAACCATTTTTAATGAAAGATGGCACAGATTATTTGGGGTGGGGTAGAGGGCAGGGAGGAGAGTTATCTCTGAGGAAAATACTAAGTGTTTAATGATACAAGGCATTCACAGACCAAGCATTAATAATCCCAACATAATTACTTTTCTCTGAAAAAAATCCTTCTGCCTACAGAAAGCTTCTGCAAGATTTCTCTGCTATTTTCTCATGTACTATTTGTGGCTGTTCCAGAAATAAAAGCTATTACAAACAAGGATGATGATAATAAACCCATAGGGACAGAAGGAAAGCCAGGCAAAAGAGATCTGATTTTAAGTTATAAATTGTCAACAAACTTTTTTGTAGCATCACTTGAAAAAACAGATCTTCAAAACATGAGAAGAAATAAAAAATCTTCAGGAATAAGCTTCATGAAGCTTATATTCCTTCAGGAATATAAGCCTTGCTGTAATTTGTATTAAGCATTAACACAGAACACTTAGTCAATACATTCAATGCAATGCAAATTACATATATAGTAAAGCCTCATAAGAAATGCAGTTTTTCACAATATACTTGCACTTTGCTATTTTTCTTTAACAACTATGAATGCTGCTTTTGCATTTGCATAAAATGTATTTATCTATTCAAAAGTCTGTAGCTTTCATTAAAAAGAGAGGCAACAATACCTCTTGTAATTGTAGCTCTTTCTTCTTAGCTGATAAATTCAAATGCTTTTCTAACAAACTGTAGTTCTTCTCTGTCTCTTTATCAAACTTCTTCTTTTCCTCCTAAACACAGAAATAAAGTAACATTCATTTATCTATAAAAATGAAAGAAAAGCCTCCTTGTTTCTTCTTCTAAAATTCTACTTAATCAAAAACAAAGAGAAACAAATTATCATAGCTCCAACAACTAAGGAAAAAAATGTTTCCAACACATTTTTTTAAATTGACTCAAAGGTTAGCTTGTAATGAAATCGCATTGCAAAATTACAGTGAAGCTTATCACACCAATGCTTACATCTCCTAAGTCAAAAAAAGAAAAAAAATCAAAACCACCTATTCTTGATTTACTGCATTTTTCATTATTTCCAAGGATCACCCATATTACTTTTTGTGTAGAGGACTTCAAGGGAAATACCAGTTTCTATTTCACTGAAAAAAGGAACTTTTTATAATCAACAGGTTAAAAGTATGAAAACATCATCTGAATAAGTTTCAACAGTTCCACAGTTCAAAATTCAAAGCAAGTACAACTCCGTATTCCTTAGGATTTTTTTATTTGACATCCATGCAAAGACCTCTGTGCTG